CAGATAACTTTTGATGTTAGAGCGTTCACAAGGTGCAACAGAGTTAAACAAGGGCCATAACTCTAGAAGTAAACAACGGAATTGCTGAAATTCAATAGGCTTCTTCGCTTCACTAATTTAAATAAAGCATATAAATTTCTCAAAGAATGAACGATAACCTTTGGCATTAAAGTGTTCACAAGGTTCAACAAAGTGAAACATGGGCTATTAACTCTAGATGAAATTAACGGAAATTGCTGAAATTTAATAGGATTCTTCTTTTTACTAATCTAAATAACACATATAAATTTCATACAGATCGGCAGATAACATTTGATGTTAGAGCTTTCCCAGGGTGCAACAAAGTGAAATAAGGGACATAACTCTAGAAGTAATTAATGGAAATTATTAAGATAGGTTGTCAGGCAACGAAACATACGCCCACAGCAGCTATATCGTCCGGGCAGTCAACAAGAGTTGTCGCATATTTTTACTTTTTTCTGTAATGAAACATTTATAATACATTAAAATCTGATTAAGAGTAACAACTCATTAAGTAATTATCAGATAACCATTAGAATTTGTTCGGTTTTTATAAAGTTCTGCCCCATGCTAACGTTTAGTATACGAAACTTTTAACACCATGGAATTAGCTGTTCAAGTCATAAAGATTCATTGAAAATCAATATACTTGTTCGTCTCAAGACCTTAAACACTGTGTATAAATTTAAAATCAATCGGATATTAACTTTAGCCTCTAGAGCGTCCTCAAGATTTTTGGCAAAAATTATCGGAAATCGCTGAAAATCAATAGGATTCTTCGTCTCATGACCTTAAACACTGTGTATAAATTTAAAGTCAATCGGATATTAACTTTAACTTCTAGAGCTTCTACAAGATTTTTCGAAGAGATCAAGGGCCATAACTCTAGCTGTAATTATTTTAAATAGCTGAAAATCAATAGGATTCTTCGTCTTATGACCTTAAACACTGTGTATAAATTTAAAGTCAATCGGATATTAACTTTACCCTCTAGAGCGTCCACAAGATTTTTTGAAGTGATCAAGGGCCGCAACTGTAGCTGTAATTATCGGAAATCGCTGAAAATCAATACGCTTCTTCGCCTCATGACCTTAAACACTGTGTATAAATTTAAAGTCAATCGGATATTAACTTTAGCCTCTAGAGCTTCCACAAGATTTTTCAAAGTGATCAAGGGCCATAACTCTGGCAGTAATTATCGGAAATCGCTGAAAATCAAACACTGTGACCTTAAACACTGTGTATAAATCTAAAGTCAATCGGATATTAACTTTAGCCTCTAGAGCGTCCACAAGATTTTTTGAAGTGATCCAGGGCCATAACTCTGGCAGTAATTATCGGAAATCGCTGAAAATCAACAGGCTTCTTCGTCTCATGGCCTTAAACACTGTATATAAATTTAAAGTCAATCGGATATTAACTTTAGCCTCTAGAGCGTCCACAAGCAATTGTGGACTCTGGACCAACGGACGGACGGACGGACGGACGGACGGGGGCAACGACAATATACGACCACATTTCAATGTGGGTGTATAAAAATTAAAAAGGCTTCTTCATCTCACTAATATAAACAACATACAACAACTTTAAAACAATTGGATGATAACTTTTGGCGTTCGCAAGAAATTGTGGACGACAGATGTACGGACGGACAGAGGCATGGATGGACAAGGGCGACGGCAATATACATACCATTTACATTCTTAATTATACTCATTACTTATAATCTAGTTAGTTCATAAGACTGAACATAGTAAAGGAGTCCATTAATTAACAGTGCTGAACTTTTATCTACACTGTGTTTGCAAGGTTATAAACTGATGTAAATTAGTAACATTTTAATAAGATTAAATCTCTATCTTAATCTGAAAGCTGACCTTTGAGAATATTTTCTAGACATTTACAAATGAAATGATATAAACTAGAGCATCTCATCAGACTGAAATGAGTCAGATATTAAAACATTTATTTTTTTTCCATGACTTTCAGTGTGTATTAGCAAGACAAATATCAATTGAGTCTTTAAAAAATAAATTGTTAATGTTATATTACATAAGTGAAGCTCCAGCTGCAATTTTGTAACAGTTTTTAAAATCTCTAATATGAGTATCAGTCTAAAATAGGTTCAATTCTGTTAGTTTTTACAAAGATATGATAAATTGAAATTCCTTTGATTTATGCTGCTCCCAATGTAAACAAGCCCAGTCTAATCTTGTTTCACAAAACCTAATTGATGGGCCTGTTTTTAATTCAACAGAATCCAATCCAGGAGATTATTTAGCATTGATGTCTTGATTTTATTTTCTTAATTAAATGTTAAATAATCAATCTGAGTACATATTAGTGCAGATTAAGCCATAAGAAATCGGATATTTTCTGATATTTACTAATCATGCACTGTCACTTTAAGTAAAAGAGAACAGAATACAGCTTTAAGTTGAAGATAATAGACTAGCTATTAATATTACGCCTACATCAGCCTACATGATATAATTATGTTCTGGAACAAGATGATGACTTCAATAACTAACACAGCTAATATAAACTATATATTTTAAGAGAGTATACATTATTCTCACAAGCTGGTTTTTCTACTAGAATTTGGCCAAAATGTTGGTACCTGTTGTTTTGGACATGTTAATAGTAAATTATTTATCTGTGTGTTAATTTGTAGCATCATTTTGTTATTCTCATTAGAATATAAACGACCCCCCACAATGGTAAACAGTTTAATACTATATTATTGCTTTTATGTAGGTCTTTAAAATGCCTAACATTCTAAGAGCAGAATACTAAGACTGCAAGATTCTTTGATAATCAAATCAAATAGTTTTCTTTCAGGTACAAGTACTCTGAAATTGAACAAATAGGTATGATCTTCTAAGATTGTCATAATATCAGTTATGCCAATTTCTCATACCATATCATTCACAATGAAACTTTGACAGCTCAATATTCTAGCTATACAATTACAGAAGGAAAGGAAATATAAATGGGATTAAACGTCCTTCTTCTCTGTATCATGAGCGTATGTCATGTAACGTGATAAAAGTAAAATGTTGCCAGGACAGCAACATTTCCACCTACTCTTCTTTGAAATCCAACTGCTAAGGATTCCTTTTGTGCATGCCAATGTGTACATGTGACCTCAACTTGAAACTTTCTCTGCCAACACCTGGACAACCCCGGGATCTCCTGTTTAGTAAGCCAGCACCTTCTGACAAAACCAACATGGCTCCCAACTGCAGAAAGTTCGAAGCATTCAACCGAAATCCAACTGGCACATATTTCGTTCATAACAGTCATTTGTAGAACTTTCTCACTGTATAAAACGATAGGTTGCCAGGCAACAAAACATATGCCCACAGCAGCTAAATCGTCCGGGCAGTCAATAAGAGTTGTTGCATATTTGTATTTATCGGTAATGAAACATTTATAATACGCTAAAATCTGGTTAAGAGTAACAACTCATTATGTAATTATCAGAAAATCATTAGAATTTGTTTGGCCCATGCTAACGTTTAGTATACAAAACATTTAATAGCACGGATTTAGCTGTTCAAGTTATCAAAAACTGAAAATCAATATACATGTTCGTTTCAAGACCTTAACCTCTATGTATCAATCTAAAGTCAATTGAAACGATTATATAGTCGTAAACACGGTGTATAAATATAAAATCAATCGGATATTAACTTTAGCCTCTAGAGCGTCCACAAGATTTTTCAAAGAGATCAAGGGTCATAACTCTGGCAATTGTGGACGCCGGACGGACAGACGGACGAGGTTGATGGCAATATACGACCACATTTCAATGTGGGCATATAAAGATAGGTTGCCAGGCAACGAAACATACGCCCACAGCAGCTAAATCGTCCCGCCAGTCAACAAGAGTTGTCGCATATTTTTAATTTTCGGTAATGAAACATTTATAATACACTAAAATCTGATTATAAATTTAAAGTCAATCGGATATTAACGTTGGCCTCTAGAGCGTCCACAAGATTTTTCAAAGTGATCAAGGGCCATAACTCTGACAGTAATTATCGCAAATCGCTGAAAATCAAAAGGCTTCTTCGTCTCATGACCGTAAACACTGTGTAAAAAATTTAAAGTCAATCGGATATTAACTTTGACCTCTAGAGTGTCCACAAGATTTTTCAAAGTGATTAAGGGCCATAACTCCGGCAGTAATTATCGGAAATCGCTGAAAATCAATAGGCTTCTTCATCTCATGACCTTAAACACTGTTTATAAATTTAAAGTCAATCGGATATTAACTTTGGCCTCTATAGCGTCCACAAGATTTTTCAAAGTGATCAAGGGCCATAACTCTGGGAGTAAAAATCAATAGGCGTCTTCGTCTCATGACCTTAAACACTGTGTATGAATTTACAGCCAATCGGATATTAACTTTGGCCTGTAGAGCGTCCACAAGATTTTTTGAAGTGACCAAGGGCGATAACTCTGGCAGTAATTATCGGAAATAGCTGAAAATCGATAGGCTTCTTCGTCTCATGACCTTTAACACTGTGTATAAATTTAAAGTCAATCGGATATTAACTTTGGCCTCTATAGCGTCCACAAGATTTTTCAAAGTGATCAAGGGCCATAACACTGGCAGTAATTATTGGAAATCGCTGAAAATCAATAGGATTCTTCGTCTCATGACTTTAAACACTGTGTATAAATTTAAGATCAATCGGATATTAACTTTGGTCTCTAGAGTGTCCACAAGATTTTTTGAAGTGATCAAGGGCCATAACTCGGGTAGTAATAATCGGAAATCGCTGAAAATCAATAGGCTTTTTCGTCTGAAGACCTTAAACACTGTGTATAAATTTAAAGTCAATCGGATATTAACTTTACCCTCTAGAGCGTCCACAAGCAATTGTGGACGCCGGACCGCCGGACGGACGGGAGCGATGACAATATACGACCACATTTAAATGTGGGCGTATAAAAATCGTTAAGTTTACCTAAATCTAATATTATTTATTTTCTTTGTTCCATAACTCCACACTCCACCTAATTTCTCCTCTAATTCACCGTTTAGTATATGTTCCCATAAATATAAACCTGAAATGTACAAAAATACATACTTTAACATTGATACGACCCTATACTGATATAAGTCTTTTGCCATGATTGTCTCAAATATTGAACTTACCCTTTTATTGAGATCTTAACCACTGATATAACTCTTTGCTGAGGTCTCAAACATTGATATTACCCTTTCCTGGGGTCTCAAACATTGATAATACTGTTTAAGGAGGTCTCAAACAATGACTGAAGTCTCAAACATTGATATGTGTAATCCAGGGCCTTGTCTACAAAAGTTAGCTCTTAGCCAATGAAACGGTTGCATTCTTATGGTATTTTATTCTTGCTGGTCGAGAATAAGGCCTAAGGACTATAGATTTATAAATTTGAAATGATGTTTTTGTAGATATTAACAGATATACTACCTCTGATTTAACTGAAAGAAATTTCAGACAAGATGTAAAATCAAATATATTATTTTTATCACATTGTGGTGTCATCGCCAAACTCTGATTTTGGTTATCATGGGGCTTTCATACTGCAGACATTGATTTCGAAAGAATAAAAAAAAAATTGATTAGAAAGTAAAGAAGGAAAGATGAAGAATAGGGTATCTGACAACAGGTAGACAACATGGCAATTTATACCACATAAGGAATTACCTCTCGATGTAAACCCTGGTTTCATTGGTTACACAAAGTAGGGAACATGTATAAAAACTAATCAAATTTGTTGACTAGAATGAGCCAGTCTAATGATTTTACATATGTCATCACGTACATATGAGATCTTTCTGTCGCTTTCCTAATCCCAAAGATTCATTTCAACAAATCTATTTTTTTGAAAAAAAATCAAAAAAAATCTTCCTTTCTTCCCAATCAATCTTGTGGATGAGAATGTAATAACAAGCTATAGGACCATTAGTCGCCAGGGAGCAGTGATTTCAGCTTTCTTTTTTTATTGTGACTAAACTTAATATAATCAGTGCTATATTGACAACCATGTGGTAGTGACTTTAATGGACACATCTTATCGAATTATTTAATATATATACTTTTATCCATGTAACCAATTGCCTTTGGGCTATAAATGTATAAAAAGCCATTCCATGGTCTCTTAAAATCATGTCATCTTCATAAAACCCTTCCATAAAAAGAACATTCATTTGATGTCCGTCTTCGATAATGACAATGAAATAATGATAAAGTGATTGAATTTTCAACAAAATCTAAGGAAATAAATCAATAGATTTAATCAGTTTATTGTTGATTAAATCCAATCATCAAGTTAAACAGAGTTATCTTCCTTGATAATCACTATTTTATCAATTTTATGGTCCACCATGTCAGTTTGTAATAAAGCTTTATTTTCTCGTCCGTGAAAAATGTAATTGAAAGGTTTATTGGACTGGCTTGGATCACACCATTTCCTATCCTTACACGTTATCATCAATTATTTAAATAGCTTCATTTACACTAAATCACTGGAAACTTTTACTATTCTCTATCATTTTATAACAACTAGACCTAAAAGGAAAAAACTATTTCTAATCAGTTACTGTCATGAATATATCAATTATCACATGAATGTATTTCTCAAACTGGGCTTTACTGTACCATATGGTTTGTAAATTCAGATATTAAAACTGTGAGGTAAAATTGGGTAACTTTGACATGTTTTTGTTTTAATGTCATTTTTGAAAAATAGCCAGCGCCAAGTAGCAATATGTTGGTTAGGTATGATCACCCATTAATTGGTGCTTCCGTGTCACTGATTCCGTGATATCATCTAGTTCCACAGATGCCGGAGTAGAAGCTGCTACAGCAGCTGAAGTAGTCAGAATTATGTTTTCTTTCTAAACTGAAATCGAAAGCTGACTAATACAAAAATAGATACTTAATGATATGAGTGTAGCTTTCTATGATCCATCAGTTTTTTAGCCAGATAATTAAATACATTTCTTTAATTACCACATAGATTAATATTGGGGTAACTTTGAAATTCTGTCAAACTTACCCCAAACTCGTGCTAGTGTAATTGCAAAGGCAACTATGTCAAGACAACTAAAAAGCATTTATTCTCAAGTCTGCTTGATAAAGAATGAAGTAAGTTGTCTTTAAAAAAAAAAACTAAAAAAAAAGGTGGGTGATGAATGGAAGAGCATGATGAATGTAAACGTGATATTGATGGTGTTGTAATAATGGATGATTCTAATTCAAATGATGGTATGAGTTTGTTTTATCATTTAATCAAAGTCATAGAGAATAAGAAAGAATGTCAATGTACATCTGACGCAGAAATGGGTGAAATTTGTCTTTATTAATTGTTCCAGGCAAAGAACAGATCACGTCCTGCATTGACAATAAAAACAAAAACTGTCTAAAGTTACCTGGACATGTAAGCATTAAATGATCAATAACATTTTTTCTTCTTTAATGCAGGAAAATAAATACAGTAAATGCATGGGAGTAGCTTTCAAGTATTTATTCCATACATTTAATAACCCAAAACATAGATACCGAAACTTTTATTTTCAGTAAGATCAAATATGTGTCAACATTTGAAGTTTACATTAATTCATACTGATTTCAAAATGCAATCTTCATGCAACTGTAATCATTAAAAATATATTTGATTTTTATCCACTTACATTGAGGTCCAGACATATTGTTTTAACCATCTAAATTACCATCTAATACAACAGTATAGCTAAAAGGAGTTAGCTACATGCATGGACGTGGAATTTGGCGAGAGGCGGGGGGGGGGGGGGATATGAATAGGTCTCTGTCCCCCCCCCATGATTTTTATCGCAAGGACAGATTTTCAGGTTTATATCCATAGGAATGACACGTTCTGAAGGCTATCTAACCACTGCCTTGGGTCTGGCCACAGTTACTGATCTTCACAATATCTTCCTCCTTAATTGACCGATCGCAGCTACCAATTTTTCCATACCGTAATCATATTACCCCTAGATACAGCTTTCATCGAAATAACACTGGTACAGTAAACTGTTTGTAATTATAATTTTGGTTTGGTAATGAAATGTTCCAGGTTCCAGGGTTCGTCTGTCCCCCCAAAAGTTATGAGAAAACCCTGCCCTTGGCTACATGTATATGAAGTCTGCAAATGAGAAGTATCAACTGTTTTAAATGGAGTGACAGTTTGAACCTGGATATCAGATGACAAAATACAAAAATTTAATAATTATGTGATCTATATTTGTGTTTAGTTTAATGAAAATATATTTTTCTTTTTATATGGTATTTCTTTATAACCATAAAATAATAAACATGGACTATGAATATTAAAATATAGTTTTAAACAACAATTTATTTGTAGTTCTATTATTAATGTGCAGTTTAAATTTTAAGACATATTCAGAAGTTTATATCACCTAGATATCACACATTTAGATAGACTGGTTATAAAATTAAAGGAGCAGTCTCATAAATATATATACTTCAGGCAACAAAACATACGCCAACAGCGTATAACTGGGGGCATTTACAAGACAATTTCATACAGATCAGATTATAATTTTCATCGTTTGAGGGTTCACAAGGTTCTACAAACTGAAACAAGGGCTTTACACTGGAAGTAATTTACAGAAATTGTTGAAATTTTACTTTTCGTTTTACTAAATTAAATAATGCATATAAATTTCATACAGATCAGATGATGACTTTTGTCATTCGAATGTTCACAAGGTTTAACAAAGTAAAACAAGTGCCATGCCTCTAGAAGTAATTGACGGAAATTGCCGGAATTTTACAAGGTCCAACAAAGTGAAACAAGGGCAATCAAGAAATAATTAATGGAAATTGCTGAATTCAAAAGGCTTCTTCATTTCACTGATTTAAAGATACATTATGGAAGATTAGATAAAGAGCTGATAGTTCTCACCATAATAGTTATAACCTAGATAATGTAAAGGGTATTTGCACAAAATTTCACTCTGAACCGAGATTTTAGCGATTGAATTTTCAGCTTAGCCTCGATCATCATTACTTAAGTCAGTATGATATCAAAAAACATAGTCTCGATTATCCATTTCATGATTAAATTATGAATTGAATTCGAACAGCAAATCGGAACCTAATCCAATAAACATCGCAGGCTAGTGATGCCATCGAGAGTTGATTATGATCTGGATGAGTTAATTAATGTCTAATTAATAATTTAGATAACATTTCAGGCCTAAAGAAAGACCTGCAATAGGCAGATTTACCTCTTGCATAATGTATGTTTAAATGATGGATATTTATTTCGTACAGATCAGATGATAACATTTCTTTCTTCATTCAAGCATTCACAAGGTTCAACAAAGTTAAAACAAGGCTGATAACTCTAGAAGTTATTATTGGAAATTATTGAAATTCAATAGACTTCTTCCATTCAGTCATTTAAATGATGCATATAAATTTCATACAGCTTTGATGATAATTTTTGATGGAGTGTTCACAAGGTTCAACAAGTGAAACAAGGGCCATAACTCCAAAAGAAATTAACAAAAAATTTTGAAATTAAATAGGATTCTTCATCTCACTGCTTTCTTCGAAAGGCGGGGGACAATAAGTATTTGAAAGTGCTTATAATGCAAATGATGTCACTCTACAAAGGAGGGACATTTTTGACCTTCATTCATGTAGAAGTCAGAGCCGAGAATAAGACATAGGCCAGACTTAGTATTAACTAACAATCATGTTACCACCCCAAAACATATAGTAGTCATGTTTTCCTCTCAAAAATCTCATTCCCACAAATCATCTTGTCTTTCCCCTCTGTCAGCTATTGTTGGTAGCAATCAGGCTATCTCTATTGTATTATTGTATGATGAGATGATGGAAACTAAAAACCAAGTCCACAGATTCATACCAATCTCCTGTAGTACTTCCAGTCTGAAGCCAACTTTAACCATGGCTTACATACAATAAAAATAGCCTATTACCCAGGGTAGTGGACCAAGTTGAGGGAATAATATGCATCAAGAAGTAAGTTCATAATCTAGTGACTGTTAATCATGTCTAACAGGA